GTGACGGTGTCGGAGTTGGGGAAGAAGAAGCTTGCCGGAGTTGGGGAAGATGCCGGGCGCGGTAGCGGCGCGCGCGGGGACGGGTGGGCGCAGGCACAACGGTGTAGGCGCGGCACCGACGTGGGCACGACGGCGCAGGCGCGGTAAAAAAAATACGTGTGCCACCGGGTGATAAAACACCCGGGTGGTGTATAGCATTTCCGTAGAACTAAACGTGTCTCATCGATTCACCACGCACGAATGGCCAGCGGTGCTGGCCACGGGGGCAAGTGTGCGTGCATGTGATGGATCAGCGTGCACGATCTGGCCCAGATGGACGTCAACGTCGCCTGTGGCTCATGTCCCACGTCCCACAAGAGCAGAGCGCGTGCAGGGCGGCAGCCGGCAGGGCATGGTCGTGTCGACTCGTCGTGTCACCTGGCTCGCAGCAAGCGATGAATACGACAGGTCTATAGAGGAAGAGAAACGTTCATTGCATACGTACAGAGTAAGAGAAACGGAAATGGGGTGAGTACGTAGGGCAACCGGCCGGCCGCCGCACGCCGGCCTCTCTCATAAAGGCACAAAAAGGAGCAACAGGGAGTGGTGCACGGCCGAACAGGACTACTACAGCCAACACAGGAGGTCCCAATCATCCGCGACACAACGGCTTGCAGGCCGGACCGTACATGTGAGCAATTTGAGCGCATGCATGCATGGACGCAGAAGGAGTATACTGACTACAGCCATGAGCGCAGCAGCAGATCGAGAGGCGCAGCAGACCGAGAGGCGTCGGGGCTCGCGCCATGTCTCTATCCTCGCATCGCTAGCTCCTCGAGCGGTCGTCGTCGTCGCTTCGAAGGCGCTCGCATGGCGTCTCTGCCATCGCCTGCGCCACCCCACGCTCGGTGCCATACATCCTGGCGCCAAGCTCGGCGCTAGAGTCGACAGCGCCGAGATGCCTGCCAAATCAGTGCCACGTCAGCGTTGAGCCCAAGAGCTCGGCGCTAGAGACGCTGGCGCCGAGACGTGTTAGCTCGGCGTCACCCTAGCGCCGAGACGTGTTAGCTCGGCGCCAGGGTCTAGATTTTAAAATCTTTCCTCCTGGGACATGTTTGTGAAAAAACTTTTAAAAAAAGCCTTAAAAAATAAAAAATTCGACACCGACGGCCTCGTTACCCAGACCCACCTGCCAGTTCGTACCCTCCTCAGTACTCAGTACTCAGTACTCAGTACTCAGTACTCAGCAACCCACCAGCCCACACACTCTCCCCCGCCCGTCTTCTCCTTCCGTCTCCTCAGGTAAGCCCCACCATTGGAGTTCGACCCTCCGATGAACCCACCCACACCCAGTACTCGCCCACCTCAGTCCATCACGCGTCCCCTTCACCTATAAATATCCTCCTCACCCACACTCGTTCTGTCCCCTGACTCTTATTCACCCTTCTCTCTAAGAAACCACCACCGACGCAGCACCAACAGCTATGGGCCACGGCGCCCTACTGCTTCTCCTCTCCGTCGCCGCCGCCGCCGCGGCGGAGCAGCCCGCATTGCCGTCCCCGTCTGTCGTGTCGGCGCCGGCGGGGGACGGAGGGAGCACCAACTCGGCGTTGGTGGCGCTGCTGGACTCCGAAGGGAGCCACTTCGCCGGGCACAGCCACGTGAAGGACTTCATCGACACCCTCCTCCTCTACGGCGGGTACAACGAGCTCGCCAACGTCCTCGTCAACCTCACCTCCCTTGCCACCGAGATGGGGCTGCTGGTCTCCGAGGGGCACGTGCTCACGGTGCTGGCCCCTAACGACCAGGCCATGGCTCGGGGCATCGCCATCGACCAGCCCGGCGAGCCCGGTCCGCCGGAGAACATCCTCTACTACCACATGGTGCCCGAATACCAGACTGCGGAGAGCATGTACAACGCCGTGCGCCGGCTCGGGACGGTGAGGTACGAGACGCTGCAGGTGCCGCACAAGGTAACGGCGAGACCGCGAGAGAGGCCGACGGGTCCGTCAAGTTCGGCCACGGCGAGGGCAGCTCCTACCTCGTCGACCCGAACATCTACACCGACGGCAGGATCTCCGCGCAGGGCATATCGACGCCGTGCTCTTCCAGGCCGGGTCCCAGTCGTCGTCCCTCACGCCGGAGGCGTACCCGGTGAAGTGGACGAAGCCCGGCCCTCCTCGTCGTCCCTCACGCCGGAGGCGTACCCGGTGAAGTGGACGAAGCCCGGGCCCCCGTCGTCGTCCCTCGCGCCGGAGGACCCGGTGAAGTGGACGAAGCCCGGGCCTCCGTCGTCGACCCTCACGCCGGAGGCGTACCCGGTGAAGTGGACGAAGCCCGGGACCCCGCAACCCAGATCTGGTAAATTTAGAAAATAGATGACAAATTTCCCGGTACAAAGCAATTAATACACGTACATTGTGATGATACAGGATTGAATTTCTTGGATTAATTGTTTCCTCAAAGCAATTTCTTGCATTAATCGAATTAGCACTTTGTGACGTACGTACGGTGCCACCTCATCTTGCAGCGCCAGATGTTGGTGAAGCGCCAGCACGCGGCCATGAACTACATGTTCAGCCCGGGATGCTGTTCCTGAGGAAGAGTTTGTATCCGGGGGCAGTTCTACCGGAAGGCACGAAGCTGGCCGGCAATGGCTTGCCAGGTCCCCGGAGGTTCGTCTTGAGGGCGGACGCCGACGCCGACGCCATTCCCTTCAGCTACAAACAGCTGGACACTATTCTGAGGATATTTAGGATTCCCTGTGGATCGAAGATGGCAGATCAAGTCGCCTTCACCCTCCGGACTTGCGAGGCCGACTCCCCGGAGCCTCACACCTGCGCCACCTCCCAGCAAGCGGTGGCCGACTTCGCTGCCGACTTGTTGGGAACCAGCGAGCTGCGCGCCGTCGTCACCGTTGTCCACGGTGAGGAGGCCGCCAGGTACGTCGTGGCGCCGAACGGGGTCACGCGCATCGGCAAGGCGGGAGGTGCCGTGGTGCCGTGCCACCCGATGGCCTACCCGTACATGGTCCACTACTGCCACCGGCCGGCGGAAGTGGAGGCTCTCCGTGTCGAGCTGACAGGAGGACTTGAAGAGGACACGATGGTCCGTGCAACCGCGATCGCGATGTGCCACGGCAACACAACAAGCTGGGACGCTCGCTACTTCCAGATGCTGAATGCAACACGCGGGGAGGAGGTCTGCCACTTCATGCCCCTGGGTTACATGCTGTGGCTCCCTGCTGTCGCTCCGTAGGGCATGTAGTAGGAAGTACGTACTAGTTAATAAAAATAAAGGAGGATTGAGTAGCAGCTTAGGAAGTGCTTATATATGGCCAGAACGAGAGGACTGAGTAGGAAGTGCTTGTGCCCAGAACAAGTTAATTGGTCCATGTCTTACATCCGATGATTATCAAGTGGACAAGTACATAAATTGTTCATGGGAAAGATCAAACCGCACCCCTTCACCTAATTGTTGAGGGTTTCCACTTCGTACCACAATGATGCGCGTCCTGTCCTGAGAGCCTCACGCTGTTACACGCACCAAACCGCGCGCTCATATTCTAAAGGAAACAATTCATGTTCAAAGCCCAAGCCGCACACATGATGCTATATTTGCCATTCAGAACATTCTTTGGGATAATTCTATCAAACGAAAGTTTATGCTCCTCCTGTAATTCTATCAGGAGGTGAAACAGGCACATCTGAGGATGTTTGATGTTTATTTGACTGATAAGTGATTTCAGATGAGCACACTAGACAAATACTAAACATGCTCTCGGCGTTGCAGGTTTCTAGATAAACTAACAAGATCAAGAGTCCATGTGTGGCGAGTGTTGCACTACAATCTGTACAGAGATTCTGGCAATGAACCAGTTCATTACATCCATGTAAATATAGCACAAGCTACACGTGAAGGTTCAAAAGGAATCGCATGTGTCTTCTTTGTCTTGCGCGAAACCTTTAGTGATGACCTTCTCAAGCAACAGCCCTACTGAAGCTGATGCTCAGAAGCAACAGATACTCATCTTGGCCCTGAAAAAAGCACATGTTTTCAAGCGTTGAGAAAGAGGAAAAAAAACATAGGTAAAGGGAAACATGATGGCTGAGAAAAAAAAGAAAGGGAAATATGAGCTTATACATCTTAAAGGGACGTAATAATCTACATATATAAGAATGAAACTTTTCTTTAATCACGTTTCCAAAAAAACTAGATCAATCTGTTGTAAATAGCTTGCATCAATCTCCTTTTTCATCGATCATATTGGAATCTGAAATTTGATTGGTATGTCCAGAGTTTTAATAAAGGAAATTACATCACACTTATAAGGAAACTAATGATCCAATAGTGGATATTTGCAAATTAGGCGATCAATTTTTTAGTTAAAAGTTTGTGGAGTTTGATTTTCTGAAAAAGAACAAAATACTGAATATGCTGAGACATCACCCTAGTGATGGCATCTTATTATGGCATACTTGAAAGATAAGACTAAAAGACTAGACTGATTGATCTCCCAGTCTATCATATATAATCATACAGCACAGTATCCACATGTGCATTATGATCCCGAAAATGTACTACTACAATGGCTTGTGGATGAGGTGGCTTATCCACACCGTCCATATTTGCACTAAGATCTGTGCACTGCCTATAAGACAAAGTACATGTGCACTACACATGTGTACTGCACATCTCAACGTAAAATGAGTGGTGAGATAAACCACCGCACCTGCATATCATTGTGGTAAATCCATGTTGTTATGATCCTTGAGATATGATGGGACTAAAGCAGCGTCGTGACTCTTGATGATTCATAACCAGATTAATTATATTACAACGATTGTCTGTACAGTACATGCATAATTTGTTCTAAAAATACCTACTGAACAGTAACCTGGTTCGCAAGATCTACTTCACTAAGAAACTAATGAGCAAGTAATAAATCAATTAAGTAGGCGCTACTTTCCGGAGAAGAGGCAGAGCACGTACCATACTTCAGAACCACATGTAGAGTTGACTCATTGAGAACCAGATCCTAACACAAAGGCTGCTGAAGAAGAGGCATCATATACGGCAGGGGCAAATTTTGGGGGCACAGCACTCTGATTGTTTGTATCTGAAGTAGATTGAATATTGTTTGGAGAAGTAGATGATGGTCCTGTACCATCCCGCGTTTCCAGCCTCTCCATCATGCGGGATACAGCATCAATTCCAGCATTGACCTCCTCTTTACCTCTGAACCAAGATTTAATATAGTGTTATTCCGCGTGAACCACCTTTCCTTCCACCCACGTGTATTCTTTGTTATAGAATCCTTATACCTGGTATAATGAAGAAGGTTGAACACAATATAAGTTAATAACACCTTACTTCTAGAGGTCTCTGAAGTTTAAAGGAGCAAAGAGTACTTTGTTGAAACTGATTGCAGGCGAGATTTGAGTGCGTCCGAGAATGACTGGAAGTCAGATGGTCAGGTGAAGACTGATTGCCAGAAACCCTGATCCAGATCATTATTAACCAAGTGTTAACCCTATGTAAATGAAAAGAAAACAAATACACGCTGGCCCTATGCTATAGAAAATACCTATTATTTGACCCAACAGGACCATTAGCAAGAGTAGTAGTGTCATGCACAGATGTGTTGACGGCTGCTTCTTCTGTAGCAGCCACAGGAGCAACTGGGAGACCAGAAATTATAGCAGGAGAATGTTCACTATCCCCTTCTTGCCGTGGATTTGAAGATATAGAGTCACCAGAAGTAGCGTCGGTAGCTGAAACGACTGGAATTTGTGGGTGGCCATGTGCCGCCGATCTGTTGCGGCGACCTTCTCTTCTAGCATGGTGATGCGACCTACGAATTGCAGCAGCAGCAGCCAAGTGTTGCATAATACGTTCTTCAAGTTCAGCATCATCTGCACCAACCGGTACCTGAAAGAAATAGCGATATCAATAGTAGTGCAGGAATTGAGTGTATATACATATCAGCAGGCAAGATGTTACTGGAATTACACCAAATATGAATGGCAAACATGCTGCACCTCAAAATCTCCGAGCAGTGGATGACAAAATACAGCTGTTGTGCGTGCACGATTTTCTTGCACATTCCTCTCTTGTTCAACAGCCTCAAGGAGCTCTTGGCTGCAGTAAGTAAGAAATACAAGTGAGAACAAGCTGTAAATGAAAAACGAATTTCAGCTGAGGCATACATATAGCAGAATTTCGACCTCATAGGGTCCTTCATGCTGATTGCCTGCCAACACATGGGGCATTGGGAGCTTCTCTGGCACCTACAGGATAAATAAGAATGCATCAGAAAGTATTTAAGGCTAAAGCACAACACACTACACACCAATGTTGGAAACTAAAAACCAAACATTTCAGAGCAGAAATTGCAACTCATCCAAATTACATTTAGTGTGCATGGGAAGATATTAGTGTACATTTAGTACTCATCCAAATTATGAATGAATACACAGCGACACAATCTCCAGATCAAGTGTGGTCCTCAATCCATCTCCCCATCACATCTCATCTCACTGGGTGCCGATTAACGAAATCATGCAGTAGATAGATGTTCAACCCCGCTTTAATCCCACAGATTATGTAATAGCATGCTACTTGGTCCAGTCAGTCTCCTAGACAATACCATTCAAGTCCTAGCAACACACACAGCAACAAAATCATCCTACTACAGCCAAGGAACTGCAGGAAACATCACAAAATGGCAACTGAGCAGGCAAAGAGAGCAGGGTCTTCTCAGTTCTCACCATCCAAGGATGCACTGGAGATGGAACTCGTGCTTGCAGCTGGTCACCTGCGCCAAGCGGAAACAAGAACAGCGTCAACGAAGCCGAGCAAGCCGCAATCCAAAGGATTTCAACGAGGCTGCTGCAGTAGTAGTACCGCGGAGGGGTCGCTGTCGGAGAAGGCCTCGAGGCAGATGCTGCAGGCGTCGTCGCAGGCGGACTGGACGCCGCCCTCCACGAACGCCGCCGCCGACGAGAGCTTCTCCAGATGCGCCTTCTCGTCCATCCCTCCCTCCATCTTCTCATTCTCCCCCACACAAACCCGATCAGAAACCGCCTCCACGCACAATTCCTGCAACTCGAACGCGAAATGTTACTAATCTTTACGCGGAAATTTCCACGAATCTCCGAAAATCAATCAAAACTACACAGATTTAATTTACAGGAGATTCCAACGAAACCGCACCTTTCGCGAATCACTGGACACCAAGCTAATCCAACCAAAACCGTACAGCAAAAACCAGGAGAAAATCGATGAAGGGAAAGACCGAGTGCTCCCAATAATATAGCAATCGTCCCAAGCCTCGGGATTAATACAGCCAATCCCGCGTGGAATCGCTCCCTTCTCGGCGGCGAGGAGGAGAAGACGAGGCGACGAAATGGCCGTCGCGTTCGCTAGCAGTTGAATACTCTTTGCAAGTTGAATCTTCTGGATGGCTCCTGTCGCTTCTCGCGAACGGGGCGCCCCCGGCTTTGGCGCACCCCGCGCCGGCGCCGGCGTCCACGCACCACACACCTCAAGCCAATGCTCACGTCGCGCCCGTCCGACGACGCGCCACCGAACGCCGCTCGTGTTCACCGTCACCGCCGCCGAAGCAAGCAGCCGCCCCGGCGTTCAGCTGCAGGACCTCCTGCTCCGTGACTTCCACAACATCGCCGTCCCAGGTGCCCTTCCCTCTGCTTCCAATGCCTTTATGTGGATCACTGTGCCGTTCCTCGCCCCCCGGTTCACGCCATCTTATATTTCCTCCATGCTCACCTATCACCTCGCGGCTCCCCGGCCCTCATCCGGGCGCGGGCCGTTGCGCCAGGCACTTTCCGAGCACGATTAACATCTGTTTCCGTTGCACATTTCCTAGCTGCGCGTGGTCATCTCATGTTCTGCCGTCGGATGTTCTGCCTGCACTCATCTGAGCTCCAAGCCATGGCAATGGCGGCGACCCTCCGCGAGGAAGACGACGCAGTAAATGCTACCCACCCACCGGGCTCAAGGACAGCAGAAGGCGGGGTTACTCGAGTGCCTCGGTCAGGTGCAAAGGCTGTGCCAGGAACCTTTCGGGACAGAACGGAGCGACGGATTGAGATTTGCCTAGATCCTGTCTTAACTCCCGGCGCGGCGCCTGGCCTGCTCCCCTCGCCGCGACATGACGGGAGCAACACCGACACCATCGAGCTCCGCGCGCACGACGCCCCCGTCACTTCCGACTTCACTCCCTCTGCAACCACCACCGGGAATTCATACCTGCTCGCTGCTCTCTCCCCAGCTTCACCGGCCCCCCCTTCCGTCTCGCCTCTTCCACGCCCCATTCCTCTTCTTCACTCTGGCTGCTACCGCTGCCTCGCCACAGACCACCAAGTTCGCCAGTGCCGCGACCCTGTCCGCTGCCGCCTCTGCCGCCGCACCGGTCATCGCGGCCACAACTGCCCAATGGCCTTCCCCCGAGAACAAACCCCCACCCGCGCCGCCGCCCCACCGTTCCCGTGCCTGCGACACGCGTGCCACTCAACGCCGTGCCGTTCTCCCGCCACGCCTCGCCGCCAGCTTCCGCAACCCCGACGCCCCCGCCCACGCCGCTAAACCTGCCGCCCGTTACGACTGCTTTTGATCCGCTACGCATGCTCGCCTCCTCTAGCAGCGGGCCCGCCATGGACATTCAGCTCCCCGTGCGGACCCGCGACGCGGCCACGGATGAGACCCCCTACTTCCTTGGGGATCTCTTCCGGGAGCCGGTCGACACTGGGAAGCGGCCCGTTCAGGACGGTGCTCGCCGCGCCCCACAAGCTGCCTCGCCCGCCATCCCGAAAGCCAGGGATATCTGCATGGTAGGAGGATCCTCCCCGCGCCGCCGGGCACCATCCACACCCAGCACGCGCTCCTCCCGCCGCTCCGTGCCGCTGGCACCATCACCCCCCCACTCCCCCATGCCCCACGCTGCTGCGGGGAGTGCTGCAACACCCCAGCGACAGCCTTCCCACGACGGAACTAGCTCTGGTGGCAGCTACACGGAAGACATTGTCTCGGGGCAGGCAACTTCGGAGGAAGAAGACTCTGTGGAAAGCTACGCGCTTGTTGACGGCCCGGACTACCTGGAGATCTGGGTCTCGGAGGGGGACTGGGAACACGCGGCGCACTTTGCGTTCGTGGAAGTTGAGCCCCCCCCCCTCGCGGCGGTAAACCCAGCTCCCCTCATTCACTTGGCCTTCAACGCCGCAACTGCGCTTTCAACTCCTGCCCTCCTCGCGCGGCGTCGCCTTGCTGCACTTTGGTTCTGCTGAAGCCCGCGAAGCTGCGATGCACGCCCAACCGATCCAGCTCAACGGGACAGTAGTTCGCTTGGAGCGCGTCGAGTCTACTGATGACCGTTTCATACGTGAGCCAGCCTGGCTCGCTCACGTCGCGGCTTGGAACTTTCCAGAGGAGCACTGGGCTCCGGACAAGGTCAGAGAAATCTACAAATGTCTTGGCACTGTTATGGAGATAGATCCTTTCAGCATCCCTGGTTTCGACAGATCCTGCATGCGTTTCGTTCTGGAGCTACAGCACCCACATGTCCCCGCGCGCATCGGCGTCCATCCCCCGAGCGGCCGCGGCATTGTCCTGCGGCAGAGCATCCTCTCGCTCTGGCCGCGGGAACAGCAGTTCGACGCCGCCGGGAACTGGATCCCTTACCACGGCCCTGCACCACCGCCACCGCCTGCTCCAGCTCATGCCCCTGCCAATGGCCAGCAACCTGCCCCTGCACCCGCGCGCAACAACCCTCAGCCAGATGCTCCCGCGCCGCACATGCCTGCTCCGCCCGGCGCTGGCCACGACCCACAAGACGCTTTGCACCACGCCACCCCTCTGCACCCGGCAGCTTTCCTTGGCGCTGCCATACTGTGCCACGGTTTCATCAACGCCTTCCCCCTGCCGCGCCTCCCGCCACTGCCCATTATCATTCACCTGCCGTCCACCGCTGTCCCCGCCCACAGCGTCTGCCGCGCGCAACCGGTTCTCCTGTTCACCTGGCGCGAACGGGAACGCGATGCGCTCCCGGACGTGCACGCGCCAACACCGCTCCAGAACACACCCCCCCCAGCAGCCGAGGCAGAACAATCTGAATGCTGGGAGGGCCAGGGCAAGAACAAGGAACAGCGCACGCCTGGCAGCCAAGGAGAATGGGAAATACGTCGATTCCACTGCCAAGGCAGCGCAGCTCAAAGCCTTGCAGAACAGCCTTTCACTTTGCTCAGTGGCCGTGCAGACACATGTAGTTAAGAAGAAGCTGCTCAAGAAAACAAAGAAGCCCATAGCTCCGGTCGATCTGTCAAAACTCGCCGGCGCTGTGGGGCTTGGAGATGCAACTGTTCGCGCCCTGGATCGTGTCCTCGCGATCGGCAACACCACTACCCGCAGGCTGGACTCGGTGGATCCAGAACCCTGATGCTTGAACATGAGATGACCACTGCGTATGCTGCTTTGCCCCACCTGATAGCAGCAAACCCGTCCTTACCTCTGCTCGCTCTAGAGTACCTGTTACCTGTTCTGTTTCCTTCTAGAGCTAGAGCTCCTCCCCCTGCCCCTTTTGTTTTCTCAGTATGTGTCTGTTGTGTTCATCTTCCAGTTTGTTTCCCACCGGTGTACTGTAATTCGCTATGAACCCAAGTAATGTTTCTTTCACTATTATGTCGTGGAACGTCCGTGGTTTGGGTGAAAAAATAAGTGTGCAATCGTGCGGGATGCTATCTCTTCTGCTCGGCCGAATGTTGTCTGCATCCAGGAAACGAAACTCTGTGATGTTGATCGCCTAAAAGCCCGTAGTTTCCTTCCCACATATCTGAATGAGTTCCAGGTGATCCCGGCAGATGCAACTCGGGGGGGTATCCTAACTGCCTGGGATGGTTCAGTCTTTTCCCTCACCTCCTCCTTCACACGACAGCACGCCCTCACTACCATTTTCTCCTCCACAGCTTCCAACTACGTTTTTGCTGTAACTAACGTTTATGCTCCTCCAAATCACCAAGACGCTCTGGTTTTCCTGAATTCACTAGAGGAAACAGCGAGACTTGTTCCTGACTGCTGGGCAGTTGCTGGTGACTTCAACCTCACCCGCAGTTGCTGGTGACTTCAACCTCACCCGCTCTGGAGGATTCTGATAGATAGAGTGATGGATGGGCACCTCACAGTCAGGTGCCATTTGGAAATTAATCGTCTGCCATTAACTAAACAGAACTAGCAAGCTCGTCAGCCTGTTCGTTTGGCTGTGGCTTGTCGTAAACGATCGTAAATTTTTAGTCGGAACAGTATTTTTCTCTCACACAAACCAGCCAGCAGTACTTCTTCTCGAACTAGCAACGATATGAACCAGCCAACCGAACAGGCTCACCTCGGCTTTCAACTGCACAATTGAACGTTTAAGCCTCCTTGACCTCCCCCTGGTCGATCGTCTCTTTACCTGGTCAAATCACCGCAGTACGCCCACACTCGCCCGCCTAGACCGTGTCCTGCTAAGCCCAACCATGAGCAACACCTTCCCAGCCTCATTCTTAAGCTCTCTCCCCAAACCCACCTCCGATCATAACCCCTATCTTCCTTCGCATGTCCACCACCATACCCAAGGCAAATCTGTTCCGTTTTGAACCTTCTTGGCTTAAGCACGCCGACTACCTTCCCACCATCCTCCCGGCCTGGGCGGCTCGCTCAGATCACGGTGCGGCGGCGGCAATGGTGAGCTCTCTGAAAGCGATTCGGTGCGTGTCGAAGGATTGGGCTCGGCGTAAGCGAGCACCACCAACACTCCTACCCAACTGCAAATTCGTCATTTATCTACTTGATGTTCTTGAGGAGGGTCGCTACCTTTCTGCAGGAGAACTCGAGCCCCGTCGAGCTTGCCAGGAACGTCTGGCCCTCGCCATGCGCGAACGCGCGGCGTACTGGAAGCAGAGGGGCAAATTCCGCACGATCCGGGAAGGCGACGCGAATACTGCCTTCTTCCACGCACAGGCGACACAACGGCTACGCCGTAACAACATCCGCACTCTAAATGTGGATGGGGTGGCCGTGTCATCGCACCACGACAAGGCGGTGGCGCTCACCGCACACCTGCAAAACCTCTTGCGGGAGCGGGCGGTGAACGTCAACTCCATCAACTTACAGGCGCTCTACTCAGGGAAGGAAAAGGTCGAGCCAGCTCCACTAATGCAACGTTTCACGGCAACCGAAGCCCACGCCGCAGTGCGGGCAATGAATCGGTCCAGCTCTCCTGGACCTGACGGCTTCGGCCCGGCGTTCTACAAGGCGGTATGGCCAACTGTTTCAGCGGCTGTTATGAAACTTGCTTGGGAATTTCAGTCTGGTGAAGCTGAGCTCGAGCGCTTGAACAGGGCATATATCGTCATGATCCCAAAATCTGCGACTGCTCTGGAAGCGAGTGAATACCGCCCGATCTGCTTACAGAATTGCTCACTTAAGATTGTGTCCAATATGTTGACAACAAGGCTACAACACCAAATACCGCGCCTCATTGACCCTGACCAGACAGGGTTCATCAAGGGCCGGTCCATTTCAGAGAACTTTGTGTATGCGATGGAGCTAGTGCAGTGCTGCCACCGGAGGAAGCTTCCAACTCTGGTGCTCAAACTAGATTTTGCTAAAGCATTCTACTCTGTTCACTGGGAGAGTCTATCGGCTGTTCTGGCGGCTAGAGGTTTTCCCCTGACATGGATTAAATGGATGACCAGCTTACTAGAGACCTCAAAGCTCGCAGTGCTGGTAAACGGAGTTCCAGGACCGTGGTTTGCTTGTGGACGTGGCCTACGACAAGGGGATCCTCTTTCCCCTTACCTCTTCTTGCTGGTGGCCGATGTTCTGCAGCACATGATTCAGGCCGATCCAAGGATTGCACACCCAGCTGCAGCTGACCAACCATGCCCGGTATTGCAGTATGCTGATGACACCTTGTTGCTGCTCAAAGCTGACACAAGTGGCCTCACCGCACTGAAACAGGTACTAGACCAATTCTCAGCAGCTACTGGTTTGCAAATCAACTACCACAAAAGCACTATGGTCCCGATGCATGTGCCAAACCCTTCCATATCAGAGTTCCAGGGAATCCTTGGGTGCAAGATCGATACTTTCCCCCAAACCTACTTGGGCTTACCTTTGTCCAATGAAAAACTCAAGCTCTCGGCCTTCAGTCCACTAATAGCTCGGGTGGACAGGCAACTCAGCGGGTGGAGGGCATCTTTACTGAATGCGACGGGAAGAGCTGTTCTAATCAACAGTGTGGTCGATAGCAGCTTCACCTACGCCATGTCAGTGCTACTACACCCCCGGCACAATTGCTGCGTTGGACAATCGGAGACGACGGTTTTTGTGGTCTGGGGAGGACACGATATCTGGCGCCCAATGTTTAGTTGCTTGGGAAAGAGCTTGCCAATCCAAGGAACATGGCGGTTTGGGGCTCAAGGATCTTGCAATGCAGAACAGAAGTCTGCTCCTCAAGTTGATCCACCGGCTCCATCACCCTGAAGGCTCATCCTGGGCGCGATGGGTGCGTCGCCTTGTTCAATTGCCTGCTCTAAATGGGGTCATCAGTGGACCACATTGGACAGGTTTGCAAGAGCTGCTCCCGACATACCAAGCACTGACTGTTTCTGCTGTTTCAAATGGCAGAAACACTGACTTTTGGAATGATCGCTGGCTAAGTGAAGGCCGCCTCAGCGATATGTTTCCGATGCTGAAAACACACTCAGTCAGCAGGGATGTTACTGTGGCGCAAGTTCTGCATGATGGTATGGAAGCCCATCTCACAGCACGGATAACGCTACAGGCAGAATCCGAACTTGTGCAGATAACTGAACTGCTGGCCCAAGTGTCACTCGGTGATGAGGAAGACCAGCGGCTCTGTCCCAACTCCCGTGACGAGCGCCAACTATCCTCTGCAAGACTCAAGATCGCAGCCGGCTCAACAACAGCTGATTTTGCTCAGTTTGTCTCAGTCTGGGGTAATTCTTCGGATGGCTGTTGGTGCAAGGACGGATACAGAGCCGAGCCTACCAGGCCAGGAAAAACATCATCGAGAACGCCTCTTGTGAGCTGTGCGGGCAAGAAGAAGACTGTGATCATATCGTCTTCCACCGCTGCTTCTCGTCGCAGGTCTGGAGGGCGCTGGGATTTCACACAGAAGGTGTTTCGGTGAACTGCATATGGACTGTAGCTCGTCCGGCAACAGTCCCCGGCCGCCACTTCTACACGTTCCTTCTACTCATCTGTTGGATGCTATGGAAACAACGCAATGCCTGGTGTTCCGACAGACTCAAACGTGCCACTCCACCTTCTGGCACAACTGCAGGGATGAGGCTCGTCTCTGGAGCCAGCGGTTCTCACAAGAAGACCGCCTGATAGCTGATGCCTGGTGCTTCTTGTTTAACTCAATGTAATCTTGCTATAGAATAGAATGTAACAACCACCCCCTACCACCCCCACCCCCCCTATATTTCCTGCTAAAAACAACAAGTGTACAAGACCTTTGGCCTGATCAAGGCCCAATGAAGCTTCAGGTGGGGATCCCCCGTTGACCGTCAAAAAAAAAAACTCCACTCTCTCCCACCTCGCCAATGACTCGTGGGGCCCACGCCCGCATTATCTAGGGCCCATAGATTGAGTTGGTGGGGCTTCTTGGTCCGTGCTCGTGTCGCTGACATTGAGGGCGCGGCGCGATATTTGTCACTCCGGTTTGACTTTCCCTCTATTTGTCACATCAACAAAAACTAGTCAAAACTGTTGACTGGATCAGAATAATCTTTTTCATGGTAAAATTGCATAAATCCCTCTATCACTCCGGTTTGACTTTCCCCCTATAAGTCATTTTTAAGAAAAACCCACCTGGTATTTTGCCTTTGTATGTTTTTTCCCTCCTCTGCCCATGTGACATGCTGATTTTGACTAGTTTTTGTTGATTGGCACGGTTGTGTGATAGCCCACACTTTTTAGTTCAATCTGATATGCTTGTATGACACATTCTTTACATTGTCATCATCATCACTTGATGTTTTATCGTGCCTCCGATCTCCATCTTAATATTCATAACCATAGCCAATTACTGTGTGAGATCTATCTAGATGTAGTAAGCTGTTGCCCTACCGTGCCACATTAGTGAAAACCAAGCCACATGAGTAATGTCACGAGTGTGAAAGGGGGAAATCAAACCATGTCAGAATACCAGGTGAGATTTGCTCGAAAATGACTTATAGGAGGGGAAAGTCAAATTGGGAGTG